GTTATGTTAGTAATCATTCTGAATGAAACTGGGCATGGGTAGATTAAGATTTAATTGAGTTTGCAATTTACATTTTTAAAAGCACTTAGTGAATGCGACTTTCAATTTATTTACAAGTAATGTAGCAATGGCTCAGCGCGTGCCTTGCATCCCTGTGGTTCCGGGTTCGATTCCCGTAGAATACCCGTAGAACTACCTCATGTGAAATTTGTTACGACAAAACGAGTTTGCATGCTTCACAGGGGTTAGTCCAACCCCTGTGAAACGTCCTAAACCTTACCCCTATCCTTCCCAATTCCTTCCCAATTCTGGCCGCTGGGTAGTGACGCAGGAGCGCGTAACAGAGAGGCGCGTACGCGGAGATGTTATCTGGCGGTCCTTTTGACAACTGACTGGGGTGTGATGTGACGGACTAAATTAATGGAGGATTGCGAAGCGCTCAACGACCCCCAAGGGCCTTGGAGACGCGTCGAAGTTGGTGCAGCAAATTAAAAACAGTATGCTAATGTACTATACTATGATTTATTTAATCATGCACTTGACGTAAATCAGCTGTTCACGGTTTCATCCAATCAGGAGCTTATATGACGCTACAATGACGTCATTGTGAGGACATTCAAGATGCAGATTGGATGAAACGATTGGAGGTTTCAATGTCATGGGTAATATAGTACAATTTATTTAGTCGTGCACTTGATGTAAATCAGCTGTTACGTTTTCACCCAATTGGGAGCTTAATGTCGCTACAGTGACGTCACTATGGGGACGTTCAAGCTCCCGATTGGATAAAACCGTAACAGCTGAGTTACGTCAAGTGCACTACTAAATAAATCGTAGTACAATCCTATGACATTGAAACCTCCCTCTCATTGTTTTGAGCGTTTAATTGGAGCTCTAAGAAGAGTAGAAAATTACCTTATTATCAAGTTTTCCCTGTCCGAGTCACTGTACCATTTAAATATTGCTGCTTCTATACCTTAACTCGAGCATAACGGGGCAGACGCTACGTAAAAGTTCAAGAGCACGACGATCCAGGAGGCCACGGCTCCCACCACGGCCACCACGAGCGCCAGGTCGACGTCGGCGAAGCCGGCTGCGCAGAAGCTCACGGGGCAGCCGGCGGCGTGCATGCGCAGCAGCTGCGCCTCGCGCGCAGCGGCGCCGTCGGGCAGAAACAGCTGCAGGCGCGCAGCGTGCCCCGCCACGCGCCCAGCCGCCCTCCGCGCCGCGTGGCAGGTGGCCGTCACGCCGAACAGCTCCACGACGAACGTGAACGTCGACAAGTAGAGCTCGGCCGAGGCTAGCAGCGGAGCTTGTCTCTTCATCAACGGCCTGCAGTCGGAAATGGCTGTGCCAATTAGCGCCATGCTCATGCCCGCAAAAATTCGAAGAAATATGCTGATTACTTCGGCTAATAATTGGTATCCGTAAACCGAATTCAATCTGATCGTAAGGTTGACCAAATTGTAATGAACAATTCGTAAAATACGCAGTTCGTTCGTTATATATTCAGATGTTGGAAATAAATGACTCGTTGACTTGCGCTGTTTGATCCAGATGTTTTCGATATCTGGTTTCCATACAAACCATGCAGAGTTCTGTGCTTCATATAATCTTTGATTTAAAAGATCATAACGATCTTTCACCATCAATATTGTATCTACATATTCAAATAGTGAACTATAAATGATTAAAGACAAGAAAAATCTAACCCCTCCTTGAATTGCATGATGACCGAGGGTGTAGTAATCACAAACAAACATCACTGTGTTTAAAACTAACAATATTGTAATTTGTGTCGTCACAATCCATCGCATAAAATAATATGTGTTTGATACTCTCTTAATTAAATGTTTATCAATTACGGATATCACTCGGAAAACATCAATTTTCTTAGACCCTTGAATTCTGGACATCAGCAAAAATACGTAACACTGAATATAAGAAGAAAATACCATAACAAGAAAGATATTGCATTTTCGAACTTGCACAAAAAACACGATATCCCCATCGTACAGACCTTTATAAAGAAATACGAAACTGATAGACAATATCATTGTGGCGCACATGACATTCCGAAATACGTTAGGAGAGTGACGAAAATCAGAACGCTTCACTATCTCTAGAGAAAACGATGTCAGACCCAATATTCGCATTAGCCGTTGCAAAGGGCTAACACTCCAAAGCAACATATCTAAATGCCATACATCCATCTTCCTATTTAGTACAACTTATTGCAGTGTATTTCTCGTGTTGCGCTGTTTCATCTTAAGAATTCTTCGGGTCGAAAAAATTCATCTACTTAATAACTTTTTACCCTCTTTTCCTTGATTTGTCTCCTTCAACGACAAGAATGACTGATTACATACTGAATATTACATTTATCTTTTGTTATACTCCGAGCGATCTGAAAATTTTCAAACCCCAAGTAGTTTTTATTGATTATTCTATGAAGGAAAATAATAAAAATCAATATAAATATACTTTTTAATTGGTGTCGATAATATCGATTTGAGGATTCTAGGATTCGAGTCTCGACGAGGACAGATTTTATATATCAGCTGGATAATAAAGCAATGCAGACTTTCACGGCTGAATATACTATTAAAATTACCTTCCAGGTCGGTAAATTACCTTCCGGTGTCGATAATATCGATTTGAGGATTCTAGGATTCGAGTCTCCACGAGGACAGATTTTATACAATAGCTGGATAATAAAGCAATGCACACTTTCACGGCTGAATATACTATTAAAATTACCTTCCGGGTCGGATGACCATAGCTGGATAGCTACGGTGAATTCAGTCTCTGTCTGGAGGAGAATTCTAGCGGCCAGCTACTCTGATCTGTAGTTTCCAGGGTTATCCGTTCAACATCAGGCGAATGCCCGACCAGTGTCCCAAGAAACTGGGCTCTAAACGTGCGCGAGAATTTTCCTCATCTTTGTCCCCTTCTCTCCCACTTACATTTGCATGCACTACACTATCGCACATGTCGCGAGGCCAGTCGCGAGCTTAGAGCTTGTCCCGGATGTGGCAGTGCCCCGCTGGAGGAAATACCTGGAGAGGAAAATCTCCCGTAATTCGACTTTGTGTCTCGCCATCCAACGACAATGGAACATTGTCACCTCGCGGGACATGCACCACACTAACGCCCACAACAGTTGTCGTTTCAGGAAGAATCGATCAATCTAGCAGAGAGAGATCACCGCTTGCGCCCGCGATATGACAATCACCACTTATTACGACCAATGACCATTGCAATTGAGGCAACGTCTCGAAAACACGATTTATCACTCAATGATTGACTAATGACAATGAGAGACTAGTCGGGAGCTTAGAGTTTGTTTTGGTGTGGGCGTTTTCTCGCTGGAGTTGGCAAAAAGTCGCACGCCGACGTGTGTCGACACTTCCGGGCGTGGGAGCAACTCCATCCCCTCCCGAGATATAACACAATGACATTTACGGGACTAATGGTCTGAGTAGTAAACGTGATCGGAATCATCACATGGATATATTTTTTCTTGTTTGTTAACAAGAAACTCTGACACCTTCGTAGCTGGCATTTTACGAGCGGAATACTCATTCGTTAATTTTATTTTAAATATAAAATTATACTTTGTTAATGTTTTATGTTCATATTTTATTATCTTTTCTGTTTTAATTTGGTATATAATTTCTTTAATGAGGAGCTTTTCAAAGTGTTTCAAGAAGCCAAGTAACAATACATTACTTAAAAGTTTCCCTCGCCAACGGTTTCTTGGTAACGAAAGAAACTATATTTTTAACAAATTTAAACATTTTTAACGGATAGGTAGCTGGCTGCGGTTGCGTAGTTTGCCTAAAGGTAGCGCCAGCCCTGGGTGTACTTAGAACTAAACCTCCAAGACCGTAATAGAAGGATGAAGAATTTGCAGAAAAGTGCAACTTCCCCCCCCCCCCCCCAAAAAAAAACATAATGAAGATCTCTAATTTATCTCGTTTTTCTAGAAAAAGAAAATCCAAATCATCATCAGAAGATCGTCCTTTTAAATCATAATTTTGAACGGGAAAATGGCTACATACTGAAATTAACTACAAATGTTTCTGACATCCTGTGCGGCGGATGGGGGAAGGGGGTCTGTAGCTAGGGTATTCTCCGAAATTGTAACGTCTGATTTTCTAGACTGTTGCATTAAAAATAAATAAATGCGGAGGCACTAGCATTTAAATAACCATTTTTATGCCCCCTAAACTGAACGTGCCAAAGACACCCATAATGTAAATGATAAAAAAATATTGTTGTTGGCCCGCACCTAATATGCAGCTAAGATGAACAATTTTACTTCTCTTTCAAGGAAAAAATTGCTAAAGTGTTGCGCCCAAAGGCTAGTCACTTTAGAGAACTAGCAGTGTGATTTACCAACACAAGAATACTGCATAAAAGTTGCAAATAATGTCTACCAAACAGCTCCAACAATGACCTTGCGCGACATATGGGCGCGCAACAATGGGTGTGTGCCATGAGCATCCCAATGAGCTAAGAATGTTTTCCTACCTCCATAGTGCGGCCACAAGCCAAGAGAAATCTTTCTTTCGGGAATATATGGCGACAGGATAATGACAATATTAGCCCAAAATAAATTCCTAAAATCCCCACATATCTTCAAAATAAGTCAAACTTTATTCTTTGGACAAATGTCTTATATGGTTAGCATTATAACTTTCATCGGAGGTATACGTCCTTTTGACTTTGTAAAGCGAAATCTGAAATTTCTGAAAGCTAATTTTGATTTTCCCTAAATTGCTAAAGCAAAGTGTGTTTCTGACCAGGTCATTTTCATGACTGCTTGATGCTTTGGGGTGCTCTCTAGCAGAATAATATAGCAACAGTTTGACAAAAATGATTATAAATAATGAATAAAAATGTTTTGCTTGAAACTGCATTTTTACTTTCCCGCGCTTGTGTGGAGTACCGAGTTACAGGGTCGGCAATATAATCCAATAAGTTATTGTGAAAACCTTTTTGATGTCATGCAACTCCGTATAACACTATGTTTTCCCTTTCGTTTGCGTGTAGTTCACGGGAACACTTAAAACGTGCTAACTGAAATTTTAATACATTTTTGCCGACCTCTTTGTGACGAATTTTCTTTATGTTTATTGAATGAATGTTGGTGGAAATGGTTCACTTGACATTTGTTGTTTCTTAAATCCAATCTTCAAGAAATCCAATTGATCGTGTGAATGAGTATTAATAATAAGAGTAATAATACGAGAGTGATGTACGAAAATATTACGTAATATATGTTTTAGTGTGCCCTTTTGTGAAGTTTCAAGAAAACATTCATATGAGTAAAATTAAGAAAACTTTCTGTTATGCATTAAATGCTGTCTTACATGTTTTTGCTCGTTGACATACAATATTTTACCCGTAATTGTTTATTTTAATTAGTTTGACAACTTAACATTTCACACAGAAGAATAATCATGGCAAGTGATAGCCAGAGTGGTAATGAACAAGTTATACTTGCCACAGGAGGTTATGATCACACAGTAAAACTATGGCAAGCCCATACAGGAGTTTGTCAGAGAACCACGCAACACACGGATTCTGTATCTTTTTTATGATTATTTTTTGTACAAATTCTTGCAAATGTATGTTAGTTATTTTTATGCATTATCTAAGATTATTACAAGATTTGTGGAATTTTCTTAACATATTTTCAGCAAGTGAACTCACTAGACATAACCCCTGACAAACAGTTAATTGCAGCTGCAGGTAAAATAGGAAATTATGAGATTGATGTTTAATTGAAAGTTGTGAACTTTTAATATTATCCAATGTAATGTTATTTGAATTTCAGGTTTCCAACACATTCGAATGTATGATTTGACATCTAATAATCCTAATCCTGTTATAAATTATGAAGGTGTTTCTAAGAACATTACTGGAGTGGGTTTCCAAGAAGATGGCAAATGGATGTATACAGGTGGAGAAGATTGTAGTGCAAGAATTTGGGATTTAAGGTAAGTTAATCCCTTGCCTTCCTATTATGTTGTCTTCAACATGTGGTGCAGATTTGCATTGCCCAGATTTTCTTGTAACTGGTGGATAATGTAATGGGTAAGTAAAATTATAGTAATGTATTCTAATACTATACTTTGATTTAATTATAGTGACTTCTGTCGTTTCATCAGCTGGATACAGTTATCCAATTACGAGCTTTGGGTGGCCTATTTTTTGTAATTAAAACTTCTGATTGGATAACCCTGTGCCGGCTGATTGAACATCAGAAGCCACTAAAATTAAATAGGAGAAAAATGTTGAAACCCACCAAGAATTAACTTTTCAATAAATCTCTTGATAACTCTCATCATCTTGATTGAAATGCAGAATATGTTTTCCAACTCCTAGTAAATGTTTTTAATTTCCACTTTGAAATAAGCATTAATTTTTGCTGAATATACCACCTTCATGACTGTTAAAACCAACAACCAATATAAAACAATATTTAGCCATGATAACAATGAATGAATGCTCCTTCACCAACATGATTCCCACCCTAACATGTGTACACATTCCTCATAATCCACAAACTGTACATGTTATAGAAAACATTTCAATTATTTTGTCTTAGGTTTCCTTTCTGCAGTATTTGTGCTGGAAATTTATTTATTTATTTATTTATAATTTGACAGACTTTCATCCACTCTATTGTCTTAGATCAAAAACACCTGCATCTGTTTTTATATCTTTTAATTGTCAAAGCCCTTCTCTAATTAAATGGACTTAAGAATTTTAGAACATCATAGAAGAGTGGATCACCTCTTTATATAAAAACTTTGGAGGTGCTTTCCTGAAAACTTTGTTCCAGCATTTTTAGAAGATTCACAGCATAATGTAAATGTAGTATGCAAAATTTATTGAAACACTAATTTAAAAACTTTGTGGTCATATAATTTTTATATTATCACTTAAAATTTCAGTATGATTCTTCTTATTTGCAACGAGAACAAAATCTAAATGTTGTCATAAATCTTCTGGAGAGATTAAAAACATTATTAATAAAATACCACATGTTCTGTTTGCAGAAATCATTTGTTTCTTTGAAATTTATTTATTTATTTATTTACGCCAATGGGCTTTATACATTTATGTTATAATACAATTTGCAGTTATAATGTATTAATTGAACACTGAATGAATACAGTAATCTGTAGAAATACAATACTTTATCTATCAAATTTAATGATTTTCGTCTTTGATAAAAATGTAGATGTAGAACCTCAAAAAAAATTGATTTCTGAACAGTACTTATTTACCAGGCTAACTATCCTGTTTTTAGGGCCTCGACATACGTAGTTTTTCGACGATTTCACTTCATTCAATAACCTATACGATCTCAAACCTGGTTTTGGGCATATGAATTGGAATTGTTCCAATATCTCTGGGCAATCAATTTGTCCATTGATAGTCTTATAAAAAAACATAAGATCCGAAATTTCTCTCTGGTTTATCAGACTGTCGATGTTGAAATCATCGAAGACGTTCTCGACGCTTATATTATATCATCAGTTCTGCATGTAATATGTGATGTATTTGTAGAAATAGATATAATACAGTGCTAATCTCCATATTGGACCTGTAAATTATTATTAAATTTACTAATTAATAAGAAAATGTAGAGATGGTATCATTTATAATTATAATTTCTCTAAATAACTTTAAGGAAACAAAATTTTAAGAACAGTCATTACCAAATAAATTGTATTCTTTCTATATTTTGAGTTAACAGTAAAGCAGTTCAAAAACATTCTTCAGTGTGATTGTTTGAATTAAATTTAATACTGGGATGAGGTTTCCAGATGGAATTATTGACAATTAGTACAATGCTTTCAATTTCAGAACAGTTGCAACCAGCATGTCGTGGACATGCCTTTCTTCTGAATACTTTTCGAATTCATATCAATGTAGGTGTTTCATTATTATGTTTTGATAAGTGACAGTGTTTTACATACATAATCTACCATAAACCATAGTTTGTTTGTCTCCAAAACCCTTATTTGTATGTGAAGATATCACTCGTAACCACAAAACATTGTGAACTTAATTAGAATAAAATTTCCCTTCAATGAGAAATTTAAATGTTCCAGTGATTGTCTATAATTCCACCTCGAAATTTCATCCCTGTAATTAATAAAGCAATTTTTATAGTGAACAATCAAATATTTGAGAGCCTCTAGGGTCGAGTGACTTTATGATTTTTGTTAATGGTCGATAGAGAACATTAGAGAATTCAATAGCCTTTTAAAGAAAACTTGACAGAACATTGAAACGTGGAATGTGTAAATGGTGGTTGACTGGAAATAAAAGCCAGGCTGCTACCTGATAAGGTACACATCAGCAGTCATAGAGGAAATGCAAATCAACTTATCAAAGAAAAGAAAGGAGTTTACAGATGAAATTATAACAAATTACAGGTTATTTACAAGTGTGAAAGGCCAATACACTCATTTTGTCTTTTTTCATGATTTTCTCTTTCATAGCAAGAAATATTCCCACAGGTCAGCATCTCACATTTAGGTCTCTATAAATTAATAAATAAATTATTGAATGGGCCATGCTGAGCCATGTCAAGCCATATGTTAAGATAAAGTCCAATAGGCGCTTTCATAAAGGAATTAAAAGTTCAAAACATTTTACTGATAGATCCAAAGTGTTTGATCCAAAAATTTGTTTTCTTTGTGGAAATTGCTATTCAAAAATAGTAAATGATGACTTTGTATTATTCTTCTCTTATTGATAAACAATTATTTCTAATTTCATTACAACTTTCAGTATAATAAACTTTTGAAAAATAGACTATTGGTAATTATGAGAATTCATATATTCCATGATAAAATATTGGTTGATAAACTCCTCTAAGATTGTTCTGAAGACCATTTTTGAGTAATGTCCTGTTTGCATTGAAATCCTATTATCTAAGTTATATTATATTTATTGTAATTTATATTTTAGCTTTTATATATGTACTGTAAATAGAAAATATGTTAGATTTTTTGATTTTCTTTGATTTTTCTTTTTTCATTTGTATTTCATCAAGTATAGTTTTATAAAGTTTTTTTCTTTTCTTTTATGTAATTAGTGCTAATGTATTTATCTTTATAAAATTGTTTACTTTTTTTTTATTTATATTTTCACTTCTTTACAAATGTACTGTGTTTTGCGATTTTATGTACATAATGTGATTTGCTGGTTCGCACACAGGCTTTAACCTCTGCGAGGTGTGGAGTATACGTATTGTATACCTTATATATATCTTTGTGTCTGTATTTACAACCTGAATAAACTAACTAACTAATTTAATTGCCAGATTCTATGTGCAGTAAATTTGAATGTAATGTGCATGAATTTGGTGATGTTAAACCCCATTAAATCAGAAGTATTTGGAGTCTATATAGCTCCATCCAGGTAGTGCAGACTCTAATATTGGAGACCCACCCCTCATTGGAAATATATAGTTCTTTCATAGTGCCTGGAGGAGCAGTAGCTTCAGTTTAATTGCACAATATTTGGATCGCCCAACACAGAAAAGGTGTATCTTTAAAGACCAAAATGTGGATATGTACTCTTTCTATGTTGGGCAGTTCAATTATATTTTTACTTTGGTATTAATTTCTGCTACAAGGTACAGTTTATTATTGATGACACTTTTATCCTAGTCATTAAAATGTTAACTCCACATTATTGTTGTAATAGATCCCGGAATCTTCAATGTCAGCGAATATTTCAAGTTTCAGCCCCAGTAAATTGTGTATGCTTACATCCCAATCAAGCAGAGTTAATTGTAGGAGATCAAAGTGGTGTAATTCACTTGTGGGACTTAAAAACTGATCACAATGAGCAGTTGGTAAGTGAAAAAAGACCTAGTACTATTGTTAACCTCAGATGTATTGTATGTATGTATGTATTGTATTGTATTGTATGTATGTATTACATGCTAATGATAGCAACCGAGGAGAATTTATTTTTAAACTGTACTGCTTACATTGGAGCCAAAGGAAGGGAAAACGCTCTTGTTTTGTATATTAATGTCAAAAACAAAATAATGGGGCAAGATTTATTCCATTGGTTTCCTAAGTTCATTTATCACAGCTCATTTTCAGAAAAAAGAAAAAAGTACTAAGTGTCAAATTAATTTGCGTGAGAGAATTAACAAAGGAACTGTGAGAAAGTGTAAATGTTTATTTCAATGATGTTTGGATAAACGCAGGTAAGTAATAAAAGTGAATTTGTATAGAAATACATTTTTTTGTGATCATTGTAAAGTAGATAATATTTTAAAAACTATACATTTGAATTGTGGATTTGTGATGTATGTTGTAACTCCCTTGAACATACACAATCAATTTCTGTGTGCTGACTGCAGAATGCAAGCCTTTTCTTTTGGTGACAAAGGTAGAGTGTCAATCTCTCTTACAATGTGGCTACTTTTTGGTGAAATACTCTTCGTATTTTAAATTAATTGCACTGTACAGCAAAATATTAGGTGAACTGAATTAGTAATTTTTATTCATTTAATTTAATATTTCTGCTCATAGTTATGGACATCTCGTGTATTTGTTCTTCAAATTTTCTTAAAATAGAATTTCTAATAATTTTTTCCTCTTGCCTTATGATTAGCTTTCTTATTAATATTTGACAAGTGCAAAAACTTCTAAAATACGATTTGAATTACTCCCCATGAACACTTCAAAAAGAGAGATAAAAGAGAAAAGAAATGGTATCTCTACACACGGAATGACAAATTACATCAAGTTATTAGAAAGAAAGTCATACTGAAGAGGATCTAAATCAAAAGAGTTGAAGATTTACAAACTACAAAACAATAAGTAATGTTGGGGCGAAATACTCATTGGAGAAACTTGAATATAGCAAACATAGAGAAAGATGTACATAAACAAACAATGGCTTATAAAGTGATTCTGATACATTTAATTCATTTCTGAAGAAGAAAGGATCCAAGATTCGAGAAATCATTGGGCAGACAAAACATTAGATTTTGTCAGATGTGGAGAAAGTTATTAATTTTCTTGCAGCTGTCTATAAAATAGACATGATTGATCTTGAAGAAACTGATCAGTTCAATAGTAAGAAAAGTCTTGGAAGTAATGGTATAAGCATAGAGTTGGTTACATGTAGTGCTGAAAAAAATCATAATTTTTTTAACAAAAAAAATAGATTTTCTTATTGAAATCAGATATTTGGATATTAACCACATTTTTTTATTTATATCAGAATTTTGATTTAAATCAAATCTTTTATTTAAATAATGTTTGTTTGATTTAAATCAGATTTTTGAAAATTTTATTACATGCTTTTACTTTACATCAAAATCATTAAGTGAATTTACCCTAATTACTTCAAAAGCAGAAAAAAGTTTATTAAAACATCAGTTTTTAAATTGATCATTTAATTGTTGTAATTTTATTTAAAAAATAAAGATACTGCACATTTGAGGGGTCTGGTCTCTTTTTTTAGTGCAATACCACCCTAAACATAGCCAACAACAGGCAACAAGATCTAAAACTTGTAGAAGGAGGAGGTTAATTTTTGAAATGGCAATATATTAAAATTACTGAATGACAATCATGCTATTTAAAAATTACTTAATAGATTGTTGAAAACAGGTTTCAGCATTTGCATAATGTTTTCAATGTAAAAATTGTAATTCAAAATTATCCTTAAAAGATTGTTTGTTTCTTTCAGATACCTGAAGCTGAAGCTTCAATTCAGGACATTGCCATTGATCCAGAAGGTCATTTTATGGCAGCTGTTAATAACAAAGGACATTGTTATATCTGGAGTTTAAGTGGAGGAATTGGTGAAGAACCCACAAAATTGAACCCTAAACATAAGATTGAAGCCCACAAACGCTATGCGCTCAAGTGCACATTCAGTCCTGATTCTACGTGAGTTGTTGTAGATATCTAGTTAATCTGTGCTCTTAAGTGTACATTTTATCCTGATTCTACTTGAATACTTAATACTGTGTTTTTACTTTCTCATTTATATAGTATGTATATATGAAGTAATATATGTGGTATATATAAAATTATGTAATGTTGCAGAAAAACAATTGAGAAATTTTAACGAAAACAAGTTTTGGGGCCCCCTGATTCCCAAAAAGCTTTTTTTTCTTTCCCCTCTAAAAAACATCTCTCTGGTTGTCTGTCCATTTGCCTATACATCTGTGACCAATACTAGTATATAAACTATTCATAGGAATTTGGCCAAAATTAATATTCCTCTTGTCAATCTGCGCTGGTACAAAGCCCTGCAGTTTTGAAAAATATTCTTTTAATTTTAAGAGTACTTTACATGAAGGCCATAGGGCAGTTTCCAAATTTTCACAAAAGTGACAAGTTTTTTCTTTAAATTTCTTGTGAAACATTTACTAAGGGGGCATAGATTTAATTTTCAAGGTTCAATCTGATTTTCAGAAATTTGCAAACGTTTGACTTCTTTTAATGTCTTTTACTAGAATAATGAAGATAGAAAATTGATTCAAATGAAATTAGTATTCCAAAAGTAGTTTTATAATTAATGTCATGCAGATTTTTTGAAAACATTAGCAAGGTATGTAGTAACATTTGTATCAAATATGGGCAATATTAAAATATATTAATAACTAGATTTTCTTTAAAAATGCTCTCCATTTTTTCCCTAAACTTTTTGTACTGATAGTGGTAAAGGCTCCAAATAACATGACTTAAACACCATTTTGAAATACTCTTATGTTTTGTTTTGTTTTTTCTCTCAAAAATTACACTAATGTAACTTTTTTATTCAACAGCCATGTCATTAGGGGCATTTTATGTACATTATTGCATTAGTGAGTATAAGGGCTTCAAATTATTTCTAATGAAGTTTCTCAAAAACTCATTTGTCTGTGAAAATGTGCTAAAAATTACACCTATTCTGGTATGCTTAAACAACATTTTTTTCAAAACTTTCCAAATTTTTTCTTTAAAGTTTTTGTTTGGTAAATACTAAATGCTCTGGATAGCATGACTTCAATATTGCTTAAATATGTATCAAATGATATATTTTGGATAATATGATAGAATCAATCCCTGAATATGTATGAGTAGAAGTCTCGTGGATGCAAATGCAACGAGAGGCAGGAAAAGCAAGAGATACCCAGGAAAATCTGTCACAAATTAGCTTCGTTAATCCCAAATTCTACAGCAACTTGAACCATTTACAATTTAAACATCTGCCTCTTAAATATATTGCAATAAGCCAATATTGCTGTATGTGGGGTGCTTAGATTGAGATTTTACAATATGCTTTCATACTTCATATCTGAAAAATATATTGGTTGTTTGGAAGCATTGAGTGAATAATATCAGATGATTTTGGACACTCATCAACCCAAATTGTTATGCTAAATTAATGTTTTTGATCAGATTTTAGCATAGATGAATGTTCAAAATTGTCTTCTTCATTTTTGTATCAGGTTATTTGTTACGACTTCTGCTGACCAAACAGCGCGAATATGGAAGACGATAGGTTTCAGTTTAGTGCAAGAACTGAAGCACGATGAGCAGCGCTGGGTATGGGATGCTGCTTTCAGTGCCGACTCACAGTACGTTCTTACAGGTTGGTGGACTCGTATTTTGTGTTGTAGAGAAAAATTAAATTTTAACCTTTTATTTCTTGTGTGACATGACTGTTTTGTTCTACTTTTCATACAGCATCTTCTGATGGCGTTGCAAGATTATGGAATGTTGTAACAGGGAAAGTAGAGAAAGAGTACAAAGGCCACCAAAAAGCTATTACAGCTTTAGCATTTCGTGACTTTATAGTTCGCGATTAATGTTCTAGTCATAAAAATAATTCTGGTGTTTATAAATGTACTCTTGTATTGAAAGAAAGCAAATAAAACTGATGTTTACATTTAAATATATAGATCATAAAAGATTCTTTACATTGTATGCCTTACTGCTTACGCAAATGCATATTTCACCAGTATCCTAGTTCCTATTTGAAGAGCGTGTGTGTGTGTGTGTGTGTGTGTGTGTGTGTTTTTCTTTTTTTTCTTTTCATATTTAAGGTTAATACAAAAGGTTAAATACAAAAAATCATTTTCAAAAATATTTTAGTTTCTATGTGTTGTACATTATATAGTGTTCTTGTCAGACTTGTTGGAAATAATATTTCATATAGCACTGATTATTCATTGTTTTTCAAAGGACTAACCGCATGACCATGCTGCACGATGAACCTGTGCATCAGATATAGTCATTTGTAATGAAAATATAAAATTGAACAAAAGTTATTTATTCAATTTTCATTAATGCTGATTTTTAACCATTTATAGCTGTATAATGTTTATAAACCATTGAGTGTGTAAATAAATATGAATTTATAAACAATATCTAACAAAATAATGTATTCATTTCCACCTCACTTTTGTGGTAGAATGCGAGATGTATTTTTGTATTCATAGTTCACCACGTTGCATATTTGTTGAGAAATATTAGTGTAGCTCTCTGGTAAGTGACATCAAAAACTGCTCAATCCACCACAAAGTATCAATACCAGTAAGAAAAGGTCTACTCTTCGATGTCTTTTTAGAGTTTTACATTTCTTCATTGTTATCTTCAATTTGTAAGTAGTCCTTCAATCAATTGATCTTCATCCTTGTCACATTCAGATTCATTATTTCTTCATGTCTATCTCTCCCTCTCTGTAATTATATATAGAGAGGCAGAGATATTGGTATGTATTTATATTAATTTGCTTCTGTTAACTGGACTCAATTTAATCGTAGTGAAACTATATTAAATATTTGTTGAGTGAGTTTTGAAAATTGTGATTGAATGACACATACCCTGATGAACAGTTTGACTCTCACAAGTAATATAAAGTGAAGAAAAAGCATTTGTATATTCATATGTATTCATGGCTGGTTTCTTAATATATATTAAGAATATTTTTTCAGGAAACAAATCTAAAGGTACCTAAATTGTGTTCCCCATCTTGGATACTGAAACCAAATGTTCCTCACCCCTAATGTTAATCTGTTTAATAATAATGATATTTTTAGCAGTCCCTGGCAAGCTCATTAGTTTATATTCTATATAAAATTTATCATTTCTGTTCTTAAGCTTGGGGTGGGAATCACATGTTGATCTAAGACATGTTTATAATGTCATAGGTTGACCGACGGGAATTCAAGTTGTGAAATTTATGTAGGATATTTGATTGAACCGCCATTAATTATACCAAAATATTATAATTTGTCTTTTATCCAGCCCACTTCATGCAACTTCACTGCTGATGCTACGAATAAAACGCACAACAATACACTAATAATTAGAGACCAGAAAAATACGTAGTATGAAATGTCAAAATATGTACATATATATGTAATGAAAACAGTAAGAATATGTAATAAATATGTTAAGTTGGATATAATATGTAATATTAAACACATTTAAAATTACACAACAAAATTACGTTTATAAAATATTTCCTAAAGAAGTATGAAAAATAATATAAATGTTTTAAAAATGATTTACAGAGCATAAGTTGATGCACATTTTGCTCCATACAACTTTTCGGTCAGCAGTAAAAGCATCATCTATTGCTAACCAGGATCGTAGTGTAGCAGCCACAGCCTGACTAAACTAATAGAAGTCATCGTCCAACTGGCAATATCTTCGACCAGCAAATAATCACTGTAGCATTTAGCTCTCATGGACAGGTTACACATCAGTGATCGCCAAAGTTTCTCTGACATCAATGTTAATGGTCACCAAACACAGCATCAGTTATACTTTTCACACCTAAAGGTGAAAATGATCTCGGTCGCTGACAGGCACTTCCCACCACTGACATAACTGCAGCAGGCAAGCTAGTCTGTGAGCAGGCACGCCATTCGGTCATGTCTTCACATAGCAAAGTAGGCAGCATACAGTAGGAAAATGCTGATTTTTTAAAAATATTTCTTTTCAAAAAGAAAATGTAATAAAATTGAAGAAAATTGATAGAATAAAATGTATTTTGTGAAAATAGCAAAATATATGAAATATGTAATACATTACTAAATATGTAAAAATATGTAACGCAATAGTTTGTGTTGTGTTAGGATGGTGATGATTCACCAAGATTACTAAGGTGAGAGCGATAAGTATAATTACATAAAAATCCGGTCTCTAATAATAATTACTTTCATTTAAAATATTTACAAATATATTTACACAAGTTTCCCATTCATAAGATATTTACTAGTTTACTCGTGGCCATACTATCTTTCATTTTGTTTTACAGTACTACTTATTTAATTTAATTTGCACACAACTTCTTCTTCTTACATTAAGTGTATTTAATGTTTATGCACTCACCTTCATGCTGACCACTGCTCTCTTGGCCAGTGATATTACTGCTGGACTCCATTCCGATTTCACAGCATCTACAGCATTCTTTCCTGACCCCCGTTCCAGTTCAAATTTTAACTTAATATCGACATTCCACTATTACCTTTAAAAATTCACTCCAAATATAACTCCAGAGTTCACGTGTTCCTGTCCTCTTTTTAAATACAATTTATAACTAATACATACAGCTCTTAGCAAGAAAACTGTTCTCATGATAATTCACTTCCTTTTTCCCAAATACTAACCCTCTTGCAAATCATAGTACCCGCTTTTTAACTGCCTCTTCCTTTCTGAAAGTTCTCCAGTTTCATATCTCTTTGCTACATTCAGTGATCATTTGTTGTCCACTCCTCTCCTGAACAGTCCAATTTCAAAGTTTCAGCTCTGTTTTGGTAGGTGTGTATAAATGTTAGAACAAAATCTATTTTTCTAATAACAATTTTAAACAGACTTCCCCCAGAGCATTGGAATTCTCTATTATATCGGTTTACCTACGTCATAGAGGCTTCATGTAAAGTGTACCTCAAAATTGAAGTGTCCGTTTCAAATTCAAGAAACCGCTACATCAGTCATATCTATCGGAGAATATCGATTTTGGTGAAAACCTGTGTATGGGTTAGGCTCTAGTGCACACATGTGTTACGTATAAAATAGTTTTTGGTGTGGTTGAAATAAATTAAGCGTGATTATGACATATTTGCGGTTTATTTTTCCTATTGCCTGTCACTTGCTTTACTTATATTGTTTTTCCTTAATAATCTGCCTTTTTTATTTATTACAGTCATTACCTAAGTATTGAATTTACCCGTGTGTCCTATTAAACACTATTAATTTTATTCTTCACTTTCATACACTGGTCACTTCCTATGTTGGCCTTCTTTATTAATTTCTTGCTAATCGCCACCATGTCAAAATTTGTTTGTTTGATTTTCAGATAAAAATGTCCTTAATTTCTCATTATTATCATGATTCTTTTAAATTTTTATAATGGCTCCAAAATAGGGTCAGAATAAACCATCACGATGTGTAACATAAATATGCTTAGCTACGTGCTATACAACATACATGTACAACTAACAAAGATATCCATTATTATTCAGGGCATGGCAACGAGAGTTTCCTGTCCAAAATTCGCCATTTTTTCTACAGAATTAAATACTTTCTCTATACTGCATTTTTTTGCATTTTGTCTCAGGAATAATGAAATTTTCATACATTTATGAAAAAATCCAGTCTCTTTGTGGTTTGATCACATTTGCAATGAATCAGAAATAGAGAAGGTAAAACTTGCATTCCTATTAATGCTTCACTTCCATGGATACTTTTCTAATGAAGTAAAAAACATTTTTTATCACTTAAAATTACATGCAACTTTGAGAATACTCTTTCTAGGAGTAAATCCTTAAAATCATTGCTGTATTACTGTACATTTAATGAAGATGTTGAATGAATTGGAAAATTATTAATTTTATTATGAAGCATATCAGCATTGTATTATTGTTTTCTTCATTGGAGACTAGTTCATTCGTTATTTTACTTTGGGATTTGCTTCTGATTGTGGCATTTCTAAAAATTTGTGTTGAATAACATACCTTCCAAGAAAGTGTTTAAATTGTAGATCTTTCTTTTGTTTTGGAAGCAAATAGGAAGAAGGAATGGGATGAATCTATCGAGGATAGTAGAAATGAAAGGAAAGAAGATACTGCAAAATAAGATTATTGATGCTTTATTTATTTGCTAAGTAATCCATAAAGCAGAGTAAAATTCGTAGGTTTATTAAGTCATGTCATGTACTATATTCCTTATAATTATTGTTGGAATGTAAATTACTTAGACTAATTATTTACAGCATATTAATAAATGTTTTCCTTGTTCTAATTTGATAATAAATTTAATTGATGCACTTATAAGAATATTAGCAGATTCTTTGTTAGTCATTCATAATTGTTTTTTGAAATTGTAAATATTTCTTGTACATCGTATAGTAAGTACAAGTTTAAAAAATGTACTACTTCTATCATCCCTAGTGATAAAAAAATTATTTGTTGTATAATTTTTCTGTCTAGTTTAGTATTTATTACTTATTCATTGGTTTTTGATTACATTATCCAACAATAAGGACACATTCTGGATACAACAGATTTACATTTTATTGTACTCACAATTTATTAAAGTAATTTGTACAAATTTCAATAACAATAACAGTGAGTAATTTAATTACTCATAAACCCATTAACAAAATACATTTGTTAAAACACTGCAGCTAGTAAACATCTCGACATATATCACGGTTAAGGCCAGACATCATGCACTATGTACATGACAAACATTTTTAACTTAAGAAACCTATTAGAAAAATATATACAATTGTCCAATATCATTAACAAAAATAATGTGCAGTCTCAAAAATGAGCTGTCGCGTGACATGCTGAAAGTCTAGTAATCAATCAAAATAAGGGTCTTTATTGTGAACACAAGATATGTTTCAACAAAGCACATTTAGCTTATACTGCACAGTTTCTGATATTGTGGTACTTTAATTACTAATATTATTAGGAAGGCTTGTGTTCCTCTTACAAAAGCAACCTGGCAAACTCTGAAATGGAAAGTGTTTAATTAAATATCGATAACAAGTCCTCATTACTCATTGATTATCTTTTCATCGAATGTATTATTCATTGCATTGTCTTTTAAAGTATTGACTACAAAGTAGGTACCTTCATAATTTATTCTTCCATCTCGATCAATATCAGCCATAGACAGCATTTCATTGAGATCTCCTTCTGTTACACTTTCACCTATCATGTCCATTGCAGTCTTCAGTTCATCCTTGGAAATAAAGTAAATATGTTAGTTTAAAAAACTATCTAGAACTCATTCATTTGAAGTCAATTTTCTAATATTAAAATTTCTTAAGTCAAAATTTTACAAGTGAAATTAATGACAACATTCCAAAAGTGAAAAATCAGGAAAGTACATAGTTGAAGATGCAAATTTCAACAAATGTGAAAATAAACAGGAAAATCCATATAATTTTATATAAACAAAGAAATTGACGAACCAGCTGTTAAGAGTTCGTTTTTGAAATGTAAAACCCATAGAGAAAAGTGTTGAAACATATTTCAAACCAATATGTTACTCATTTGTTAAAATATTTGTTTCTTCAGAGAAGTATTTTAAGTATGAAGAATTGTGGATTCTATGAATGTAATCCTAGCACCTTGCGGGATTGCAAATAAAACAATATTTAGAAGATTTTTTTATTTCACTTCATGTTTTGGATGCATGTTTCATACTTATCAATTAAATTCCACTTCGCATTCCTTACTTACTTTTCCATATAATTTGTCGTGTGGGTTATACTTCTTTTCCATATTCTTTTAACGTAATTTTTTACTTTTTATTTAATAATTAGATTTTATTATGTATTGTGACTGTGTGTGTTTTAATATTGGTGTTTTCAATATCACTTTGTAAGAGACTGCACGCAGTGCACAAAACACTGTGAATTGTTATGAAGTAAATTAAAAAAGTTCATTAAATATTGTTTTGTTTTCAACCTCACATGACCTAAAAATTACATTATATGGAAATCAATTTCTTGGATTTTTTGGAATACAACTTATTCATAATTGCTGTTCCCTCTGAATGTAATATACTAAAGGAAGATGACATTTTTGATCATTTATAAGAAACAATCTATACATAACTCCATTAGTGAATTTCTGCTTGATAGGGAATGATCCCCAAGAGTGAATCAAACAGATTGAAGATAAAACCAAAGAAGTATCCAGATTACGGCATATTTGGAAAGTCAGGCACACATGCACCTCAAGACTTATATTACATCGCAAAACATTTAACATTCGTGCATAACAGTGTGTCTGAGGGCCTTAGTACCATCTTTTCATGAGTGTGTGTGTCAGGGACAGAGGGCATGCATGGGAATATGCATGCTGTTAACATTTTGGATTTTATAAGTGATTAGTGAAGTATATGCAGGAAACATGCTGGGAGAATGGAAGGGAACACGTGAAGAATATTTGAGGAGTTTCCACACAACACGCTGAGAACATGGTGGGAACGTGATGATTGTGTGGGGGAAATGCAGGAAAACGTGGGGATAATTGGAGCTCAAGATATATTACGTTAAGCAGTATTCTGCAAAATGATACCCTTTGGAACCTTCATTTTCATTTTTGGAGATTAATTCCTCTGTGTACCCCAGTACATAGCATGCATAGGTAGTTTAAGGAAGAGCCTACAAATCTCTGTCATATTAAATTGACATATATAGGCATATCATGACAGGTTTATAAAGCTTTAACATACAGTTCAAGCGCTGCCTGATGTCTTGAGCCATGTAAAGCAATTATCACATTTTTATACAATGTTTTCTAAGTGTGGAATGTTCGTGCAGGTCCAATGAGAAATATTTGATTTAGTTGACGATTGTTGAATACTAGAAAAACTCGACAATTTTTTACAGTTGCATGTATGGTTGAAAATGGAAGCAAGTTGCATTCAAAAGAACTCCCATTGCAAATGTTTTTAATAATTATTAGTATGCAGAATGTACAATAGAAGCTTTATTACCCTTACACTTTAATATGAAAGTGGAAACCACATTTATCAACATTATTTTCAAGGATTTATTATTTGCTACATTTATTGAGAAATCTTAAAATTCATTAATATACATAATTAGCAAAAGTATTAATTACCTTTTATTTTATCTAACAATTATATCAATTTTCCTAGTGATCATCATCTCTGATTCAGAAGCCCTAAATTGCGTAATTTAAATTTTAGATTTGAAACTCATGAAATCATAATTCGAATGATTAAATTGGTTAGTTAAGCATTAATAATAAAAGCTTTTTGCTTGTAGAACGAACATACAAATGCTATGTTGGCTGTTGAAGTGTAATCACTCTTTAGACATGTGTTAGAAGCTTGAACATTATATTGAAAATGAAGGGTAAAGATGAGTGAAGATGAGAGCATAACATAAGAGAAAAGCACTTTTATTTAAATGTAAGCTTGTTTTACGGTTTTATTTCCTTGTAGTCAAGAATATAAAAATTCAGCAATGTTCAGAAGTTTTACGAGAAAAATTCTTTAGGAATACATTATTATTAACAGAGTTTTAACCTTAAGAATAGTAAGAAAATTAAATCACAGATTCTTAACAAGCAGGATGAGTGGGTTGTTTTACTGATAAGATTTATTGTGAATCAAAAATGCGAGTAATACTAACCTTGGTAATATAACCATTACCATCACGATCGAACACTCTGAATGCAGCAATCAAATCCTTTGTGATTTCATCAGGATCTTCACTATTTCCTTTGTCTTGTAGGTCTTGGATTCTTCCCACCCATTGTAGGAATTCAGTTTCATTTATGAGACCGTCCTCTGAAAATATTCAGAAAGAATTCATTTCAAAAGAACAGCACCACAAGATTTTGATTTATTTATAATCAGAAACAGTAAAAACTACATGTGACATATGGAGGAGAAGACTAATCTGAACTTATTTTCTTGAGCTCCAGAATCCCTACCCTAGCCTTTTACTATACATAGTTGAATGACAGAGTTGTTAGCAACATTTAAAATCTAGAAATGTTCTCCCCAAGTAACAGAAAACTTTCTTGTATCGACAAACTACATTTTGATTTTATAGTATTGCTAATAAAATAACAACTCACACAGAATTGAAACAAAATTTAAGTTACGAGGTATTTGTTGGTCAGGTTGTTCAACTGACACCATGTTGGGAGGTACTGTATATTTTGCTTAGAATTTTTTGAATGTTAGTTGATTGTTCATGCATTTATTTAAAGTTCTTTTGTATTTTTTAACTTAAAGGACATAAACCGAGACCAAAACATCATTGTGGTAATTATCACTGTTCAGAAATGTTTTAGTTTGTTTAATAAATTGGTCAGTAATAAAAAATTTTGAAAATTCAAATTGTTGAAATAACCTGCATTTTATTAGTTTTACTAGATTATATCACCATACATATCTCTTGACTAGACCTGCTTCTTATGTACTGTAAGAAATAGAAATTTGAAAGCCATAAAAATTGTTGGGATGTACAAATTGATGGGGCATTTAAATTTAATGATGCAGATTATAAACTTAAGCTTATAACTTCATTAAGTGTTAGATTTTGTAATTATGGAACGTCATTATGGTTCAAAAAGAAAATATTTAATAATAATTTGACAGTATTTAGCAATTCTTTCTTAAATTTTTTTTTTTTAACCTTAACACCTGAGATATATCAATTAAAAATTTAAAAAAGTATATTAATAGTATTAATAAAATGTTTCTCTGAAATAAGTGCTTGATGATAGTATTTTTTCCTTTACCTGTATGACTGGCAGCTTGAAGGAGCTGTTGCACAAATTCATCCTTGAGGTGGATTCCCAAGTTTTGAAGCATGAATTGTAGTTCTCCTGCCGTAACGTGTCCATCTCTATTCCTGTCCAAGAGACCAAATGCTGTCCTTAGATCTGTGAATGAAATGACATCCATTAATGCATACATTGAGTAATACGTTTTGTAATTGTGTACTCGTATACCGTAGTTCTTTGCAATTATTGATAAAACTACAATTTTGGGGAATTGATAGGGCAATTTCGGATATTTACATAAAGGTTTGAAATTTCATCTTTCTTGATTTCATTTAGTTTGTTAGAATACAATAATATTTCAGATTATTGATTGCCTTATAAAATTGAACCATGTTTATAACTTAGCTTTCATATAGACAATCATAATTTATGTAAACAGCTCTCAAATAATGAAGAACATCTTTTGATCTTAAATCATGGAATTTATATACACACACATTTATAAAAAATTAAAAAGATCAGTGACAAATCCGAGGGAGGCTTCAGCCTCCCAATAGTCAATAATATATATTTAGAAATATAGTTTTTACTTATTTTCTCTATTCTTTTTGACAATATTAGTAATAAAAATGAGATCTGTGTGATTAATTAAAATTATTATATCCAAAATACGTATGGACCAACAGTGGAACTAATTGATGTTTTTGAAAGCCAAAGTCATCTCCCCATACATCACATTCAGGTTTTTGATAAAATAAATCTATGTCTAGTGTCCAATGCAGGGGTGGATCCAACCAATAATTTTTTTTGGGGGGGGGAATCATTTATTCATAGGGTATATTACTTTTGTAGTATGTATGATACTATACAGTATTATTTTTAAATAATTACGTAATTCTTAGGGGGGGGAAGCCCCCATGCTCCTTCCCCTCCACTGGTTCCGGCGATGGTCCAATGTTGCCCCTTTTTAGGTTTAACTTTGATTGGAGACTTTTTTTGTTTTGTTTCGTTTTATTTTTGAAGTGATGCATTACTTTATACAATTTGAAAGATAAGCGAGGTATTTCAAGATAAGCTCGAAACATACCCTCTAAAATGTAATTAGATATTTCAAAGATACATTTTTCTTACATCATTTAATGTTGTATATACTGCGATTTTTCCAACTCTGTCTCTGGCAGGTATCTACTGTTGACTGTTTCATCCAATAAGGACATTGAACGTCACCATAGTGACGATTGGATGGATTTGTCATTTGTATCTAAATGCAGTCCTGGTGACAGTGTTTTTACTAATTGGAGTTAGTTGCATGTTGCATGAAATGAACGAATTGAAACAATCCCAAACCATAGATTTGAAACTCAACATAAAAAGGTACAATAACATCATGAAGGGCTGTTTTTATTTTCTGCGTTCAAATTGATATGATGTTCCGTAATGTGTTAATGAACGAGTTGTGTGAATGTATACAATAGTAGTTGTTCATGTGTTATTTAATTATCCAGTTATTCATTCGGATTATTAGCAATGGCACAGACGGCAATAGCGATGACTATTTTATTAGAAGGCTGTTTCGTGAACTGCGACTGACAAAGTTCACGGCTCGTAGACGGACGTACATGAACCGGCCGACAGCTCGGTTGGCACGTATTATATGCGCTCGTTTTCTTGAACTCTCGTTTTGCTAGATGCGTGAGGAGTGTGAGTTGGTTACTTCGATGACTGCACTATTATATCAAACTCCTAGCTCGTTTTTTAATGCAAACTAGTTTCTAATAAGGGGAGCGAACACTTCTGGTTATCAGATTTCATTGACAACGCTCGTCGGTATATTTTATTCCGAATTCAACCAATGTTAGTAAAGGAGTGGTGGTAGCTATTGCTGGGCTGATGAAAACGTGCGAATATAATTCATTGCACCCCTCGAATACAAAAAAGAAGTCTTGAAACGAAACGCTGCCCAAATGTTAAAAATTCGATTTGAGAAATCAAATTTAACTGTTATCTATTTATTTAAAATAACCTGTGAATCAATTTGAAAATCAAGAGAAGAGTGATTGTACCATTTTCCAACAGAACCAGAAATCGCTCCCGATTTTTAATGCTGCAAACTTATGTTTATTCTGAATCATCATTTAATTAACAGTTATTTTGGGCTTGAACAGAAAGAACATCATTAGTGTAAAAATTAGATTTAGTGAGATATAATAGATTAAAAATACAGATTAAATGTATCGAAATTATTTTTTACTATTATCAATATTTCTCAATTTCATGACATTGATTCCAAATCTCCATCGACATTGAAAATCTCTAAAAGGAATGTTAATAAATATTTCATAGATTTGTGAGTAAGCCTTATATATCAAGTAAGAAATTGTTCAAAGAAAGTATTTAATTTTCATTAGAAATCCTTGCAAAAAAGATTAAGAATTTTGCTATGAAGCATGAAGAGTGATGGGTTTTGTCAACCACATCTCGTTTGTGTATTTTTGCTTAACACCGTCCTCCTCAATGTTATTCTCTACTCACACTAATCATAAGTTTAGATTAGTTCACATATTTAGTTAAAAACAGTAAAAACTGTGCGACGTAGAAGACCTCCTCATTTTCATAAAAAATACATTCAGACATTGCTATGTTGTAGTTATTATATTGTTTTATTTAAATGTCTCTACCAAACATATTGCCGTTTGGAGTGTTTTGGATTTGCTGTTGGCGTGGAGATCTCATAAATCTGCAAAATCTTTTTCTTCTCAACTAGTATCGACTACTCTGCGAATGGAGATTGGGGAGATAGATTTGCTCCAGCTCGAAACGGCGATGTATATCCTCTTCCCAAACAATAAATCAATCTAATGGTGGAAAACGGCATGTTGAGCGTTCGATGCCATCGCGTGTGTATGAACTAAAACAGTGCCCCTGCCAAAAACGAGACACGTGCGTTGTCTGTATACCCATTTCAGCCGTTCCTGTGTTCCCTCTTGACATTAAAGAATTGATGAACCTTCCATATGCAAGGAATGACCTAATAAATAAATAATTTATACGAGTTTCGACACCTTTCACGGAAAGTAGCAATACAAAATGAAATAAGATGGCTAGCAAATTTTGAATGACGTCAGTAGGATAGCAATAGCTTGTTGCTTTTTAATCTAACACATTGATATACTTTGTTTTAAAAATCGTCGTAAAAGTAGTCCAACACATTACTGGATATCAGTAAAAGCAATAGCAGACCGATTTATTAGTGCTTAGAAGTAGTAATACTTAAGAATGATTGCATATGCCATACACATTCACATAGATATACGTATAGATGCATTAGTAAATATTGTCTCAAATACATTAATGTTATTATTATTTATTATCATTGTCATTATTATTACTTTATTAGCCTATTTATTACAATTCGTTCCAAATGTTACATTTTACATGTTCAGATCAGTGGTTCTGTTTATCGTTTCATTTGTAACTAAAAATTAAAATATGAATGCTTGTAATATAAGTACTTGCATCACGTTCATCTGACATGGTGAACACACATCCAAAAGATCATTACTCTTATTTGGTTTGTGCACTTGATCCATAAGAATAACACTCACTACACTAATTGTTCTTCTCCGACTGCGAATGAAGAATGACAACGTACCCGTATCTTATAAGATTGCTGATATCAACATGACCCATGAGACATGTTCTTAAGATAGCCGGTGTTACCGACAAGGATGGCTGTAAAGTAATTCGCAAAATGATAAAAAGCTAGAACAGCGGTATTAAATAATTGTTTTGAGAGCTTTTGTGGCACATGTGACACGTCTTTCATTACTACATAGATGTGCTATTACTAAATAACAAAAATCTCGTATGGTATTGTCAACAGAACATTTGCACCTACCACTAGTGATGTGCGTCTACGCATAGAGTATACCACTGTCTTTGTCTACACGTAAACAACTCCTAGACACCTTACACCAGTGTTGTTCCAAAGACTATAATTTTACTTCTACGCGTGTTTTCTACACGTAATCTACATGTAGTCTACATGACTCTTTTTACGTGTTGACTACAAACACAACGTAATCTGTGTAGATTATTTTTTCACATCATAAAACCCAAAAAAGTTTATAATCAGTAGTAATAGTAGATGAATGTGGACATGTAATATTAGACATTTTATTTTCGATTCAATAAGTCAAACTAAATATACTTCTCTTGATGAAGAAATGACAACCTCCGTAACCACCTCATGAAACCAGTAGGAACTTGTTTTAAACGCACATCACACCGCTCTTTCCCTCCAAGTGCAGTGTCACAAACCCGGTGCGCAGAAATGTTGTTCAGATCCCAGACCAAGTCGTCTTCGCTCTCCCGCCCCCTCCCGCAACAGAGGCGGACTCAGTTCAATAAAATGTCGAACATTTTTAAAGAGATGATTTTTACACCGGATTTTTTAAGGCAAAATATATCTCTCTTCAATTTTGTAGTTTTGAAATGTTAACTTTTTACTATTTTCGAAAAACAGGACAGTTTGCCGAAAATGGGACTTTCGCCATATTTTTTACCGTTCTTTGATTTATACAAGGAGACAATTTAATGAAAAAAATTTGGTGCAGTTTTTTGAGAAAAAATGTTTTAAGATATTTAAAATCACCCAATGCATATGCAAACTACACAAAAACTACATTTTCAAAAAAATTGTACATGTTCTTATTTCAAGACATGTCATTAACGAATATATTTCATTAAGGAAAAAATCTATCTTCGATACTGTAGTTCTAGGACCAAGATGGCCAAAAAATTGCACTTTTGCAATGTTCGAAAATTCAGTGATTTCAGCGAAAATAAAAACTGTACCATTCTCTTTAGCTTCTTTTTCACTATCCGAAGACAAAGATTAATCAAAAAAAGTTGGGGCAATTTTTGAGAAAATATTGTTGAGGTTCCATATAAGTAACGCCCCTCCGAATCTAAATATCCATTTCAAATTCAAAGGGCATTGATTTGGCGTTGGCCTCACACATGACAGACAGACAAACAGACCAACAGTCGGACGTTTCCGTGTCAATCGAGTCTTCGATATCAAGGATCCACAATATGTGGATTCTGACCGCACAACGTGTTACAGGAAGAAATTTACTATATACAAATTGGAATTGACTTTATTCACTTTTTAATTACCAGGGTCCGCAAATAAGAGTTTTTCTGTCGAAAATTCGTCATTTTCCGGTGAACGACCTTTTTTAAACAACTGTTTTTTGGAACAGAATTAATTTAACATAGAACACTTTCATCAATATTGTACTTGTACAATAAATATGCATACTATATACAATAAATACATACACTACATACAATAAATATACATACATATACAGTATACACACACACACACTTTGCAATTTTTGCAAGTTTTAGAGTTCGCCGAAAATGAAACTTTCTTTGTCGTTCTTTGTTACACACGTGAAATAAATTTAATGACAAATTTGAAGTCGTATTTGAGAAAATAATTGTTTAAAATTATTCCAAAATTGCCTGTTTCGCGCAAAAATACGCAAAAGCTACCCATATTTTTGAAAAATTCCACATGAGTTAATTTGAAGGGTTTTTTTTGAGGAATTTATTTTTCATATTGATTTTTGAGATTTTATTAAGGAAAAAATGAATATCTTGTAGTTGTAGGAAGGCGTCAAAATTGTTGAACTTTAGCAATTTTCAATAAATTAGGAATTTCAACGAAAATGAGATCCATTTCTTTATATGTTCTTCACGTTATTCGAGGACACATAGTTTAATGCAAAAATGTGGAGCCATTTTTTCAAAGATTTTGAAAATGTGTAATTCGAATTGTCGAATTCGAAATGAATTCATGCAAAGTACCCCCAAATCAAAATACTTTCTTCAAAATCGTAAGGCCTTGATCAAGTTTAGTTCAGATCGACAGAGAAATATTAATTTTGGAGAAAATCGTCTTAACATTTCATGCGTCTTTGAAAAAATATTTAAAAATTGCTTATGTTTCATGCAAAGTTAGCCGAAAACTACTCATTTTTGAAAAATTGAACATAATCTTATTAAAAAATCGTGCTTGAAGCACAAACTTAATTTTGGAACTACTGATGCTAACAGAACATACTTTCTCACATTATTTCTAACTGCTCCGCTATATTACATATTAATACATAAATCTGCAAAAATGTTTTCAACCAGCCAAAAAATCCGCACTGAGACTCGACCTCAGGTCCCCCAAGTTTACTCACCATGAGCCTTACCTCTATGCAATCAAAACGAAGTGAGTTTCGAACTCAGGATTGTTGTTTTCAAATAAAATGTTAGCAATTTTCGAAAATACACAGAATTCACTGAAAGTAAGACTAGCACCAAATTTTTATCGCCCTTTAAGAAGACACCAGAAACATTTTGAAGATTTGCAATTTTCAAAAAATTAGGAATTTCAACAAACATGAGACCCGAGCCGAGTTTTTCACGCTATTCGAGAACAAAGTTCAATCCAAAAAGTTGAAATAATTTTCGTGAAAATTTCGAAGATCTTGAGGCTTCATGTAAAGTACCCTCAAAAATCAACATATCCGTTTGAAACTCACAATGCCTCCAGTTTGTTGAGATCGATCGAGGAATATCAATTTTGGAGAAAATCGGCTGATATCCTGAACGGTTTAGTCGCTAGCATTGATCACAGACGGACGAACAGACATGTTTTGCCGTCAATAGATTTTTCTGTATCAAGGACATTAAATGTGGATTTTGACTACACAATGTGTCAGAGGAAGTGGTTTACTACAATCAGGAACAAGATTTATTCACTTTTTCGTTACCAGGGTCCGGCAATAACAGTGGTTTTGTAAAAAATCGCATTTTTTCCGCAGCATTACAACATTTTTCTCTATACTGTATAAACAGTACGTAAGAAAGTACAAAAATGAAAATGTCCTTCAGGCATGAACACCGCCATTATAATGTCTTATGGATCTTTGGAACGGCATTAATATATCTTACTTCTCACGTATGTGCTAAGTTAGAGCTCAAACGCCTGAGTTGAGCATAACACACATCCATGTATACAGTCATCATAGTTCATTAGCGGTGCTAGAACTACTAGTGGTGCCGACCTCTCGTAACATTTGCATATGTTTTGTAAAATTATTTTAATTATATGGCAAATAATGTATTTTTAATATTTCAGCAATCGTCTGTATATCTGTCTTCAACGAACAGCTTTAATCATAGCACAGTTGGCTAGCCTGAAACTAAAGTGATCTGTGGTACAAATCACAATAGACCACTTAAGAATTGACTAACATTTGAACCAGCCTCCAAAACTAAAGTTGTACTTTTATTACGTGTCACCCTCAACGACACATAGACCATTTAAGAATGTGTAGATGTTCACATGTACAGATCTAATTTACCATAACCTGGATTTTAGTCAAAATGTTTCATAGACCATTTTAGTTCCAGGCCAGCCAATTTGTCTATTATCTAGTATCTTTTAAAAACAATTTTGTAGGTAAAATCAACTTTATTTACTTGTTGTTTAGTCCATTATTTTAAATTACGGACAAAATATTTTTCGACAATAACACCTTACTTTTTTAACATTAGGATCAAACCTTTCTGAATGCACCTTCAGCTATCTCCTAATTTCCGTTATTCCTCCACTATCAACGACTCAATCTAAACGTTTAACTTTGAAGTGTCTGGACAGCACTCCACCACTTATTTTAATATTCAGATATGTTTCTATGTAATTTGTAATATTGTATATATTACTTGCAGTTTTCTAGTCAGAACAGGTGAGCTTTCATCGAAAGTTCTGACAGTTCACAGTATAAATGTATTTGTAAATTTTGTGTAAATCATTTTGGCTTCATGAAAAATTTTATAATTAAATTTTCAGTTGTACCTGATGAGGGAGACAAAACAGTCTCCGAAACGTCGTAATACAAGTGAATAAAATTATTATGTGAAGCATTTTTTGGAACTTATCATTGTGATGGTCCATAATTTAAAATAAGGGACTAAACAATAAGTAAATAGAATTATAGTGTGACAACCATTTTAAAACTTAATCTTAATAATAAAATTAACTTTCTTGATACATTTATGGCCAGTACTACGACGGAATATATTTAACTAGATGACATTCACCAGCATTATTTGCCATAGGACCATTTCTAGGAAGCTTCTTTAACTTTCAGAACTTCCATCGTCGACCTAATTAATGAACAGATTTCTCAAAATGAAATCAATGTACTGAAAATGTTTTAGAATATAATATGTGGAGATATTTTCACTTACTATTATGGTTTTATTTTCTTGTAATATGAACTTGAAGATATTCTAATTTATCAAAATACATTTTTTTTCACATTTTCTCTTTTTTTGATCCCCGAAATCTTCGGGAAAATATTTGGAGCAGTTTAATAGAAATCGTCATTTGGGCATCTTTTAAAATTGCTTCATTTTGGGCTCAGTTATGCTAAAAAAATGTAGGAGTGGCCACGAACTTCGCA